TAATTAAGTATAACTTATTAATGAGGGAAAAAAGGAAAGGGGCAAATAAGCAATATAAGTATTAGGATTAGTGATGGGCAAATCCAAATTTAAGAAATTTGAATTTCGTAGATTATCCGACACATTTTGTTAGTTATAACTTTATAAAGTATCACTTGATTATTTTCGATATTTGACGATAATTTTTATTTGATACATATAAGAGAACAGGTTTATAATACAATTGTATTTATATATACGTACCTATACAATTATATTAATAACAATATTACTGCTCTATAATCCCCATTTAGCATTTTCAATAATCATTAGATAGTTATGTAAAGATAAGCTAACTGCAATGGGTTTACCAAGAGTAGATTTACCTGCGAATATATAAAATGTACGAGTTTCGAACAGTTATCACCGTGTACCTAATCGGTTCTCTACGCAAAATGGTTATTATTACATTATAAAGCTTATATTAGTAGATTATATAATGCACCGAATCCGTTTTATAACAGGCAATCTTATAATCGCAATTTTCGCCATTAGTAATATAGTCAGATAACTAAAAGTAAATCTGGATATCCGACTAATTCAAAAAATCCGGATAAGAATTTGATTCAAACCCGGATTCGAATATCAAGATAGTCGAATAATGCGGATGTTCGGATTTCATGCCCATCCCTAATTAGTATATTAGTCATATTAATAACAAACATTTGTTAGTTTTAAAACAAATTATTGTTTTTATTTCACACTTAAAATTTATTTTGTTAGATAAATAATTAATACTTACACGTGTTGGATCAACTCCAGTTGACAATATGAAAAATATAGGAGTTTNATAATGCGGATGTTCAGATTTCATGCCCATCCCTAATTAGTATATTAGTCATATTAATAACAAACATTGTTAGTTTTTAAACAAATTATTATTTTTATTCAAGACTTAAAATGTATTTTGTTAGATAAATAATTAATACTTACACGTGTTGGATCGACTCCAGTTGACAATATGAAAAATATAGGAGTTTTTGAAGAAGTTTCTTTGAACGATTCAAAAAATTCTGGTGGCCTAAAGTTGGTATATTTAGCTCCAAGAACTTCCTGGACGTAAACTTTTGCAGCATAAGTCATTCGGTCAGTTCTTAAAGCTCTAATTACACAAAGTCTTTGGAATGAAGTTTTATTTTTCCACCCTTGTGGCATTATTTCTTTTTCTGGAGCTTCGCTATCAATATATATTTGCCAACGTTTATGAAACGACTCTATGTCCTTATCTAATCCACTTCAAAAACATTTATAGGTATACTTATTATTAAATTACTCTTAAGCATGCGTAGGTATATATATATAAAAAAATTATTGTTTTACGTGTATTCATCATCAACCGAAACAAGTGTCTTTATAGCTCCCCAAGCATCTGATGAAATAAAATCAAACGGAGCCTGAATCCCAATAATTGATGGCCGTCTCAATAAATAATCTAAATCAGCTGGATTTATTTGTTGTGCTTGGATTTGTATCTAAATAAATTATAAATTAATAAAATAAAATAACATTATACAAATTAAAGTAAAATTAATACTTATAGATACATTATAAATCGTACCTGAATAGTCATTTGAACAATAAATATTAGTTTATCCTTTTCGAATAAACCTCGACTTGTATATATAAACGTTTGATAAGTTATATTGTCTATTAAATTAATAATTCGTCCTTTTAAAGTGTCGGATTTATCTGCATTTCTCATGGAGCGTTGGAATACAACACTAAAAGCCTTAAAAATCATACATGGAAATCATTAATAATAAAATTATTATAATCTAAATAGTGGTGGTTTTTAAACATTTTTCTAGAGGGGGGGGAGTCTGAAAAAAATATGAAAAACCGACAGAAAAAAAAATTGAAAAATATTTAATATTAACAACTCAAGAAAAATCCGTTGAACACGATGAGATACGTTACATAATTAGATACCTCTTTTTTAAATGACACTTTATCGGTGTTTGGGGATGGGTCTAGACCCTCTAGAACCCTTCTCTATCCCGTAAATCCACCACTTAATAATAAAGTATCCAGTTAAAACAATTATTTGGAAATAAAATTCAAATGTATATAATTAATAACTTGATGAACAATTAATTGAATAAATAAATAAATATTATTAATTAGCAATAACACTAATAACTATAAATAAGTGATTAACTTTTTTTATACATTACCCCTAGAGAAAATTGATACATTGGACTTATTTTGATCAAATCGTTCATTATAAAGAAAATTATTGATGCTCTTGTTGCAGCAATACGATACTCTTCTCGGGCGCTATCAATTTCTTTTGACGTTATTTTTGACTCTGCGACTTTTATTTCGATTTCCGTAGCCGTTCTTTTTGATTTTTCGAGATTCAGAACAAGTTCTTTGTCACCGAGTATTTCACTACCGGCTNACCAATTTTTAAAACCCTAAAATTGAAATTATAAAATGATTACCTATATAAATTTCTATAGGCAATTACTTTTTTATTTTTACCTTCCTTTTTTAATTAAATTACGACCAATAACATTATCTAGAACGGGGTCAACATTTTCACCCATATTCTCGATCAAGAGAACGCCCCCATCTCTAATACTGTTTTCAATATCATTGATGCATTTTTTATTATTTAGTCGAGTCACTTTTAAAGTTTTGCCATATTTAGTTTTAATCCATTTGATCCCTTGAAGCTAAAAAACCATATTATAAAAATGTGTACATTTTAATTTATATTTTATTTAAAAATAGAAACTGGGGCTACCTCAGGATCGACCATCAATGGCCATCGATCAGAATTAGATAAAATGGTAGCATTTTCAGATGACATTCGATCATTTGGTAGACCTTCGTTATTCCAAGTTGCAATTTGTGTATCGTCAGTGAGCATAGTAAGCGGGTCTAAATTATCTGTGACTGGTATTTCAGGCTGAAAATAATTTTTGTTTTTTTTTATATTGTTATTTGTATATTGTTGTTTCAATGTATATTATATTATAACAATAATACAAAAAATAATTTTTTTTTTATTTTGTTTTTTTTTTTACGATGTGTTATGAACATTTAAATACCTTAACTTGCTTGAAATATGGCAGCCATTCCTGTTGGATTAGTTTCTGTCTGTATACTTTCGTAAAGTAGCCAACGTACGACACAAACGCTGAAACCATGAGAGTATCCCCAGGTAGAGTAATCAAATTTTTTTGAAATCTAAAATACGAAATAAAACAAATGGTAATTCCTTTTAAATTATTTTTAATTTAAGAAATTTACGATAAAACACTGTCCTTCCACCGAACATTTTCCGATGCTAAACCATTGACAAGTCGATTCGCCAAATCTATTCTCATAGCAGTTTCATCGGCTTGATTTTGACATCTGGTTTTTTCAGCGACCGCACTATCAAATTCATCAGTTAAGATTTTTTGTTTTCTTTCCAAATCCTAAATAACAATAATGTAATAAAAATAAAATTGAGTCATTTATCAGGTGCCATTAAAGATTACCAAAATTTTATTTCTAAGCTCTGTAAGTTTGGCCCTAGCAGCACTCAGTTCTTCGTTTGCCTGATCTCGAGCTTTTCTTTTTGGTTCTACAACTTGCCATACAGCATTGAACTTCATTATATTTATAACCCATGCACATAAACCTCGAATAAAAACCATTCATTTTACAAATTAAATTAATAATTTAAAAAAAAAATGTCTGCAAATTTCCTTAAACGGTAATTTTAAGTTATTTTATTAATAAAGAGAGTATAATGCTAAGGTTTAGGTATAAGAGGTTGATGATAAATAGAAAAAAAAAATTTAGTAAGTATCTATAATAAGTTATTTAAACGACACGTTTATTTTATAAACTACTTATTTGATGTAGTATTAGGATAGAATAACGAAACATTGGCCAGTACGATCGAAATAATTTGCAATGCCTTTTAATTGTTATTAAAAAATTAGGTTAAAATCAGTTCCAAATAGGTATCGTACAAAACGACTACCTATTTTGGATGGTTCTTTTCAAATTCGTTTAAATGGATTATACCAACGGTTTCCAATTTTTTAAGTTGTGCGGGCCACTAATTTTGAAAACAAAACTTTGAGGCCCACTAAACCAATATACAGGTAAAAATAACACAAATAGACACCTATTATATACGTATGACCAATATATATAACTATAATGTGCATATTGCATACAAAAAGGAAAACAAACTATGCATAAGATTAAAATTACATTTTTTATAAAAAAAAGAAGTTTATTGTTGTTTTCGATTTATAAACACGTGGTTAAAGCTGAACTAATCAATGCGATTTTCGAAATTGTTTTTCTCTTACGAAAGAATCAATGTCGGGGATTAAGTAAATCGCAACGTGCCCACACTTCACGCCGAGCATGATAAAATACGATAAGAATGACAAAAATATTCTAGAATATTAATGTATTATAAGAAAACGACAATCAATAAAATTTTACGNACAAACCATGCAAGAAGATTAAAATTATATTTTTTATAAAAAAAGAAGTTTATTATTGTTTTCGATTTATAAACACGTGGTTAAAGCTGAACTATTCAATGCGATTTTCGAAATTGTTTTTCTCTTACGAAAGAATCAATGTCGGGGGGTAAGTAAATCGCAACGTGCCCACACTCCACGTCGAGCATGATAAAATACGATAAAAATGACAAAAATATTCTAGAATATTAATATATTATAAGAAAACGACAATCAATACAATTTTACGATGCCGATAATTGTGGGAATATTACAAAATCTCGATCGAAATATAGACATTTATATTATAACAATATATATTTTTTTAATTTTTCCGACTCTTGGATTATGGTCTCAACCAGCGTCCGTGGCTCAGTACCATATTGACCACGGCCCACAAGCGGGCCGCAACTGATGGATTGGGGATCGCTGGCTTATACTAAGAACATAGTCTTTGAAAAGTATTAATTATAAATTATATTTTTATTTACCTGCAGCAGCCGAAGACTTTCCTGCGATGAGATCAGGATCGAATTCTGGGTCTTTCAAATAAGGTTGAATCGCTTTAACTACATCAGGGTGTACGTGTTCTTTATCGTAGTTTATGANTGAATCCAAAAATCCGTCAACTTTAGCCATCATTACCTATACAAATAAATTATATTCTAAAGATATTTGTTTTTCTAATATTTGTAGAGTATGTCATCGGTGAATCCAAAATAAATAACATATTTCTGTTGCAGGGTTGGGTAGTATCACAGATACATGTATCAAGGATACCATTATATCTTGTATCGTGATACACTGTGATGTAGTCCGACAAAAAATTCATAGGTACAAGCAACACGCTTAGATCACTGAGAAAATAAACGTGAGGGGGCTCTGCCTCTCCGTGACTGCGTTTACTTTTCTACATATTATACAATCCTTTTTATTTATTTATTTTTTTTTGAACTGTTAGACTCGTATATATTGTCTAAATAATAATTGGTATTTATTGAAACTTACAAATTATAAATAATTAACTTTTAACTTATATATAAGTTACATATATACTTAATATATAAATATCTAACTATATAAATTACAACAGCTAACACTTCATTATGTATAAATTATGTACAACATAAATAATATCATAATGCTTATTATATTGAATGATATCTGTAAGGATAACTGATAAGTGATCTGTGATAGTGAGGCATGGTGATAATATTGTAAAAATTAGGTACCATTAGATTTAAAATTTATCTGTGCCCTTACCGCACTCAGGTGGCAATATTGTCTTTTCTAATTGGACGAAACTTATAATTGTTTCGTTTAAATTTATTTTAATGAATTATTTTACCGGATAAAATATTAATAATTCTGTAATCTTTAACGGGACATTGTTTTAAATAACAATAACATAAAATAAAAAATACAATTTTAATAAAAAAATTTGTATTAATGAACAATGATTTATCAGTTGATTTGCATTTTTCCAACTATTAACGTACTTACTGTACTATGTTTAGGTAAATGTATATTAGTATATTATTTTGAAAAACTGACAAATATAAATGTATAATAGTTTATAAAATTTAATTTGAAATTATATCATGAATCTTTGATACATGTTAGTATCTATCTTGAATCTAGTATATTTTTTACTTTCAAAATGCACCTAGTATATAGATACACTATTAACTCATGTATCATGATGGTATTTTTTGAGTGGGTATCCCGTCTAACCCTGGCTGTTGGGTAATTTCAAAAAATAATAATTTGCTGAATCTATTACTAGAAATAATAATTATACTTTGCAAGCTTTCCAGCTTCTATCTTTTGGAACTTTTCCTTTTTTACATTGTAGGACCAGAACTGCACCCGTGACGTTAACCACGGCATCAGGAGGCGATCCAAAGGATTTCAATTCAGTTAAATTATTCTGAAACATAACATGGGTAGATATTAGTATGTTTAATATTTCTATTGGATATGTATAATATACTGTATAAAATATAATAACGATTTAAATACCTATATTATTTTATGATAATTCTAATTGTAATCATTATTTTATTCAATTATACGTACCCAATTAAAAAATACAATACAATACAAAAAATATGTCTATTTTTATTTTTAAAAGTTTTAATAAATTTAAATTAAAAAATTATATTAATTTGTAACTACAATTTTACATTCGTGTTTTAATTAATTTCAACATGAATTTGAACTTAAAACACGCTGATAAAAATAAATTATAATATTTTAACCACTTAAAAATAAAAAATCGAATACCTTTTNTTCCAATTATAAAAAACTACTAAAAAATCTCATAAATGTCTTATAAAACGTTAATAAAATATAAAATGTTATAAATGCCTTTTAAACGAATCAAATAGAGTACTTGGTACACTAAATTTACGACTAGAAAACATCGCTCGAGTTGATTTACGGAGAAAGATTTCTGGATAAAAAATTGTTAACAAATAGACAAAAAATCAAAAACGCACATCACAGTAAAACGTAATACTTATACATTTTCTGTTACGGTCAGAATCTAAGAGTGAAATTACTTTATTTAATGTATCTAAGGCAGCTTGTGCTGCTACCAAGGCTGGTTCGGCTTTTTCGAGATCTTCCGCACATATTCGTTGTTTCAAACCGACGTCTTCTTCGATCAACATTACTTTGTCTTCTTCTTCAGCAGCTATAGAGAAACGATAATTATGTTGTTTTACAATTCAAGACGGTTAGGTATATGAAAATTATAAATACCTTTGTCTTTTTCAAACTTTACTTTTTCCGTTTCTTTTTGGACAATTTTAATTAATTCTTCTGCCTTTTGGTTTTTCTTGGTAAGTTCGACTTCTTGTACATCTAATTCGAGTTTTAAACCGTCGACCTTTAAACAAAAATATTAATAATAATAGTAAATAAACTTGTATCGGAACCGTTAAATATTTAAGTAGATATTATTTGGGTAATCGTTTTTTGATTTACTTGTAAAGCACAGGATATCAATTGTNTCGAGTTTTAAACCGTCGACCTTTTAACAAAACATTAACAATAATAGTAAATAAACTTTTATCGGAGTCGTTAAATCTTTAAGTAGATATTATTTGTGTAATCGTATTTTGATTTACTTGTATAGCACAGGATATCAATTGTTTAATGCCAGTTTGAAATCTCAAAATTCCAAATTTAATATCATTGGTTTTGGACACTAAGAGCTTCATATAGAGTGCAATTTGTTCCAAAAATGATTTCGGCGTTGTGTAATTGTAACGACGGTCATTTGCCAAATATTGTACCGACATTTCATTTACTGAACTGTGTACTTGAGCCATGAAAACCGACACCGGTTTCTTTAGTTTGATTGGGAGTTCCATTAAATCACTTAAAAATCTGTATGATACGGATTCCAAAGNTTCCTTCGGCCATTCGTAAAACCAGTTGATAGAGGTGCACGTGACCAGAGCTGGAAACCGTCTGGCTCGTACTCGAATAGTATTGCCCACAGGAGAGAAGCACAACACGATCTTTATCAACGATCTCACTTTATTAATGAAGAAATACCAACAGTTTTCCCGAGTTTCTTGAATTCCGGCAGCTTTAACCTATAACACGGTGATTTAGATTTAGTTTTAATCATGGGTACGTTTATTATACCCATGTACACGTATAGGTAACGAATGTTGTGCATAAGTTGCACAAATTATACAACTTAATTAAGTTTTGTGGAAAAAATAGTAACTTAAATGAGAAAAAAAAATTGTTGACATTTTTATTTTATTTTTTCATTGTACCTACTCGTTTACCCTACACTCATTTATTAAAAAAAAAAACTTAATTATTTAATCAAATTTTAAAGACTGAATACTTTCAAACATGGTAAAAATATGTAAAATCTAAAACAATTATATATTCAAACATCAATATAATTATCATATTTTAAATAATATTAATTTAAAAAAATACCCACCGAAATCCGAAGAAAAACAAGTCATCGTTTTTGTATTTAATAGGTCATAGATTAGAATAAGACAGTTATTCAATAAAAAAAAGCATAAGCTTAAAATGTTATTCAGAATTTGAATTATCTAAGTAAGTTTAAAGTAATTTATNGTTACCCACAGGAGAGAAGCACAACACGATCTTTATCAACGATCTCACTTTATTAATGAAGAAATACCAACAGTTTTCCCGGGTTTCTGAAATTCCGGCAGCTTTAACCTATAACACAGTGATTTAGATTTAGTTTTAATCATAGGTACGTTTATTTATACCCATATAAAAGTATAGGTAACGAATGTTGCGCATATAAGTTACACAAATTATATAACTTAATTAAGTTAAGATAGTTTTGCGGAAAAAATAATAACTTAAATTAGAAAAAAAATTGTTGACATTTTTATTTTATTTTTTCATTATAACTACTCATTTTCCCTAACACTCATTTATTAAAAAAAAAAACTAAATTATTAAATCAAATTTTAAAGACTGAATACTTTCAAACATGGTAAAAATATGTAAAATGTAAAACAATTATACATTCAAACATCAATATAATTATAATATTTGAAATATTAATAGTTTAAAATTATACCCGCCAAAATCCGAAGAAAAACAAGTCATAGATTAAAATAAGACAGGTATTCAATACAACAAAGCATAAGCTTAAAATGTTATTCAGAATTTGAATTATCTAAGTAAGTTTAAAGTAATTTATACGAGTGACTTTTCTACTTAATTCTAACTTTTTGTCCTTAGCTCAGCTATCTTATGTTATTAATGGTTAGTACCTCAGGGCTGATCGTCTGAATAATCGTATCGATTTCGTCGTCGGCAAACATTTCTGGTACCTGTCCACTGGCTAACATGTCGTTGATGAGCACAAGGAATCGCTCGTCGGCCACCTGGGAGTCAGCCATCAGGAACATTATCCCGGCGCTCTTTAGGCCGGCTTTTAAGTATAAGGTTGATAGGTCGGCCTTTAAGTCAGCAATGCCATATGAGGACCTGAGCTGTACTTGAAACGGTTCCAGGGACGATATGAATGCTGACAACCGAGCCAAAGACTGTTTACCNTGGCTAACATGTCGTTGATGAGCACGAGGAATCGCTCGTCGGCCACCTGGGAGTCAGCCATCAGGAACATTATCCCAGCGCTCTTTAGGCCGGCCTTTATGTATAACGTGGATAGGTCGGCTTTTAAGTCAGCAATGCCATATGAAGACCTGAGCTGCACTTGAAACGGTTCCAGGGACGATATGAACGCTGACAACCGAGCCAAAGACTGTTTTCCACTACCACCGACCCCCACCAATAGCGCATTACCCCTGGGTAGTTCCAGGACACGGTTAATGCGGCACACATGTGACATGGCATCCTCAAACAGAACCAGATTCAGGGCACCGATGAGTTCGTTGTACGAGGCCATTGCATCGTTGAGTAGCTTCTGAAGTGATGCCCACGACTTGACAGGCATATACTTNGCGGCACACATGTGACATGGCATCCTCAAACAGAACCAGATTCAGGGCACCGATGAGTTCGTTGTACGAGGCCATCGCATCGTTGAGTAGCTTCTGAAGCGATGCCCACGACTTGACAGGCATATACTTTGTGTCACCTATGGCTTCTGCAAAGTGCGAAAATATCATAGGGCTCACCAAGTAATCAGTCTCCGGAATATCCTGTACAAAAAAAAAAAAAATACCTGTGAGCAGCTGAGTTTCATCACTAGAGTTACATTGATGATTTGAAAATAAATATGGTTGCCCAAGCTTTAGATTTATTTTAGTTTGTAGGATTATTTAAAATCCTGTATTTTCTGTAAAAACATGAAATTTGATAATACCAATAGTTTAGGACGCTGTTGAAAGATGTAACGCTCAAAATACACATTCTTGATATTTGGATCATGTATACACAGTGAACTTGACTTAGGAAAAAAGTAGGAGAGGTATTGTCGCTATTTTAAAAGGAGTCCTTAGTATTTTAATACCCCTTATGTTATCATGAGGGGCTTTGCCTTCCCCATACTCCCTTTTACGGTTTAAGAAGCACTAATATAAAATCAATAACATACATCATAACAAAACAGAATAATATAATAATTGTTTAGATAAAACTTGTTTTTTTTTAAAACTAACATTCAAAGTTAATCAATTGGGTTAAACGAGATAATAGCATGTTTTTTAATGATAATATTAGGGTTAGGTTAGTGGTTATTGGTTACGTGGATTTATAGATAATGAATCATCATTGATGACTACTTATTAGTTATTCTTATCGCATATCAGATATGAGATATCAATACATTTTGTAAGATTTATATATAAATTTAAGTTTCGTAATTTTATCTAAAGAAAATGCAAGCTTCAATAATAATCCGTCCCATGTGTTCCCCTTAAAGTTAGAAGTAGGGATATCCAACAAATTTTTAAGGTACTCAGTCTCCTTGCGTTCCCCCAAATCAAGCACTATATACAATAATTCAAAATTTATTTTTCAATTCAACCAAAATATTATCACTGTAATCCTCATATAAAGTAGTTCTGCTTAAAGTACTCAAAAATAGTGGAAAAAAGACATATAAATGTAAACTAGACACAATACGGTGCAATTATCTCTATTATCGGAAAAATACGACAAAACTACGAATTTTAATAGTTCTTAGTACGAGTAATACTTCATTTTTCGATACACTTTCTTGATATTTTCAGGAAAAAATCTAAAGAAATTTTTCAGTTGTGAGTTTTACAATAAACATCTTATACGTTCACATAGTCATATTATGAATAAAAACATTCATTAAATTAATTTTGGTGATTAAAGAAATGTGTAATTAGATTATGAAATCGTTTTGAAAACAATTTATAACATTTACTTGTAAATGGTTTAAAATTTTTCTATGCCAAAGTTCCCATTTACTCTATAAATACACTAATTAATTAATTAGTATAAACTCGGCCACTTAGTTCATTAATTAAGTGACCAAGTTTTAATAAACTATTATTTTTTTTTAAATATACGTACGGGAAACGATTTCTTTATTTGCTCAGAAAGTGTTTTAGCAAATAATTCTTGATCTTTGTTCTCGATTAGTTTATNNNACACTAATTAATTAATTAGTGTAAATTCGGCCACTTAGTTCATTAATTAAGTGACTGAGTTTTAATAAACTAATATTTTTTTAGATATACGTACGGGAAACGATTTCTTTATTTGCTCAGAAAGTGTTTTAGCAAATAATTCTTGATCTTTGTTCTCGATTAGTTTATCGGCATAAATTCGGCTGGTCTCGTGATACCACAGTTGTATAAAGGAAATAGTGTTTGTCACACAATCGCCGTTGGCAAACATAAGTCCCTATTTGTAAAAAAAAAAAATGTGTTTCATGGAACGCTAGTGTTTTGCTAAATGTATTGTACGGGTACCTACACTATACGGTAACTATTCGATTTAAACAATTTTACCTGAAAAACATTACTCATATCTCTCAGATTGAATATGTAATGAAACTTAATTGCCGTTGGCAAAAATAGCGTAAGAATTCTGCTGTGAAAATCGATTGCCAATTGTACAATAATATCTGTCAATTGCATTACTGCATTGTTGAATTTATTTGCCGGGTTTTTTAAATGTTGGCTTAGAATTGAGGTATAGATTGTAAACAGCGCATCCTGAGACGGAAATCTAAAAATATTTAAATGATAAAATAAAAAAAAAAAATAGCTTACAAAAAAAAAAATCTTGTGCATTAATATATTAAGAGTTTTACGGAAATAGCATGGACTTACCCGAGTGCAAATACATAAAAGTGTCTCTGTAATCGAGAATCTATCGTAAAACTTCCAGCAGTCGGATTCATGCTCGACGCAAACATTACGTTTTGTATCTCTTTTAGGGATAATTTCATACGGTCATACCAATGTTTGTAGTCCATGTATTCTCTGATGAGTGTATGAGGTGCCACCGTGCCATAAGCGTCGACCTTATAAAATATAAAGTGAATGAAATATTCAAGATCAACGCCTATTTATGTATGTACATGTTTTGGATTACAGATTTAAATTAGGTATTTATACTATGATATTTTCATTTTATAATTAGTAAAATACAGACTCATTTGACTCGTTATAACATAATAAGCTAGGTTAGGTTAGGTTATCAGAATTACTTATAACCATAATTTATAAATTACAATACTCATTTTGACCCAACGAGTAAATAGCATGATATTAAATATCGTAAGTTACCTCTGGCATATTTATATCATCAATAAAGTATATTAGAGTTTTTCCGCCAGGTGGACCATAGTTTCGTCCAGCCTTTTTCTCCAGTGGTTTTTCCAAAATCTTTTGTAACATTTCTGGTAAAAGAACACACCAAAAACTAATTAATATCAAACGATTGGTTTTCGAACATTTTTAAAAAAAACACGGTTCTTAGAATCTTTTTTTTTTTTTGCCGCTTTTTATTGCATACATTTAGATTCAGAACATGGCGTGGGTTCTATTGGTTTAACTATGTGTATTTTTTTTTTTTTTGTACCTGTAAACCAAATTTTCTACCAAAACTTTTGCTTTGATGTATAGAGTGTAATATATTTGTTTTGTAGAAAGTTAAAATATATGTATAAATAAAAAAATCGTATTCATTTGAAATATACCTGATGACGTATAGAAATTAAGCGGTACGTTCGAAACGGCGTACAGATCACTAGAAAGTGATTTTAGTTTGTCATTTACGATAATCGATTTTCCAGTACCAGCAGCACCAACAAACATTATCGGTTTTTTTTTGTCTATTAAAAGGTCCAGAAAATATCTGACCCGCGTAGTTTCATTTGTGTTTACAAGTGTTTGCTGTAAAACAAATATACATAATAACATTATTGTTGATTTATTAGAAAGGTCGAAGGATTTTAACCGTATTACGTATTACAGGTACTAAAAGTGATTTTATTTTAAATAACATATTCACACTTCATTTTATCTTTAAATAAAAGATTTATTCAAACTCTGTCTGATTTGTAGGTTGGGAAAAAGTATACATTTTTTAAAAACAGAATTTGAATAAATCTATTATTTAACTACTCAAAACGCGTTATAGATAATGAATCACTGTGCATAAACAGTGGTCAGATTATCATTTTGTACAATAGTTAGTGATAAAAAATAATCCGTTTTTATCAACAGCATAAAATAATATAACTTAACCTGTAGCGGAACTCCTGGATCGAGTTCGAACGATGTTACTAAATCGGACCATGGACGAAACTTTTTTGTTTCGTGGTCAATATAATAGTTGAATACAAGTCCTGTCGGCGGGATTTTAATGGTCGTGAATTGGTTTGTCCACCATTTGGAAAATTCGGTTTTCCAATCTATCAACTGTGAGGAAGAAATGAAATTGTCGTTATAATCGTATTATAATTGGTGATTGGGCAGCATACCTGGTCTTGGAACGTCGCTGAACCGAAAGCCCAGATGCAAGCGAACACGAAGTACGTCTCGTACACGTCTCTACTTGAGTCAGGTGGACAATTCACAGGGGTCAAGAGGCACTCGAGCAACGAACACAGCATTTGTATATGCGTTATTTCTGGTATGGGAGTTATGATTTTGAATTTGGTCTTCAGCCCTTCTAAGCAGCTGGGCACGTACTTCTCGAACAGCACTACTAGGGCAGCTTGTTCGGTCATATTAGNTGTACAGAATACCAGCACGAGATACGGTGGCAGGTGTGGCCGATCTCAAATTCGAGATCTCGAATATTAAACGCATGGTGGGTGTTAAGGCGATACGTTCGTTACTCGCTAACGTCAACACCTGCCAACATGAAGGTAATAGTTTTATATTTAAGTGTTTAAAAATTATATTTTATAAAAAATATTTCCAAGCAGTATTTTAAAAACAGCCATAATTTTAAATCAAAAATAATACGAAACAATTTTTTGTTGTCTATGCATCTCTACTAGTTACATTTTTCATTGTACTCAGGTACCGTGTACACTTTGTTATAAAATATAAATATTAGCTCTGCATAATTTATACGAACTTTTTTCAAATCTAATAAAAAATAATACAATTTAATGATTTAGAAAGTAGTTTTATTTTTACTTTTATCAAAAGTATGAGCTATTAGCCCAACAGTAACAAATCATAATCATAAATAAACATTAAATTATAATACCAAAAGTAATACGCTTGAAGATGAAGTTAAAACAAACAAAACGAGTGTTTAACAATATGCATTATCCTTGGAAAGGACTTATTATCAGCAGATTGTTGTACAATGTACTTATTGGTACAAAAAAGTCTAGTTATTACGCATGTATTTTCAGAATGTTATTTTAAATGAGTATTTAAATATAAGTGCCTACATGTTTTATATGTAACATATATCTATATACTTTTTTAAATGACTGATTTTTTTTTGTCCGTAACTAATTGAATACTCTTAAAGGCTTTATATTATAGTTATAGAAGTAAACATTTTCTGCATACCTTGTTGTCGTCCATAACCGTGTTCAACGATTCGATCCACATAGGATCTATGTCACCGTCCATCACCATCCATTTTGGTCCATTGCCGGGCATTTGAGATTGGTCTCTTATCAAACACGAA